CAAGTCGTCTCTTTATAAATTCAGGCTCTTTAGTCCAGACCATACTGTCTGCTTCATCACGGTGCAAATAAATTGAATCAAGCCCAAAGTAATGAGGTGTACGAGAATAGAAAACCCACGCAAACCCACAGGCGCCTCTTCGAATGAACCCGACGAACATTAATTTCCCCCCAGAGGCCTGAGAGCCATTTTCACTCCAAGGATTGTTAGCACAGACGAAAGTTAGCTAAACTACAAAGCAAACAAGTTTCCGAGCACGTTCTCTAGGCATATCTACTCGTTTCAGCTTTACCGGGGGGGCCTTTCTACGTAGGAAGCTGGGTTGTTTGTTCGTGTTTGTTGAAATCGGCAAAGGGGAAGCTAAATTCTGCCTCCGAAGACACGTTCCCGGGGATGTTGTTCCGGAAACGAAAAGTTCCTTTTATTTTATCCATCATTGGGTATTCGATTACCGAAAAGAGTATCAGAGTTCAATTTACACCGAGAAGCGAGTAAATGTTTGTTCCATTGCCTTTTTGTGTAAGTTAAAATAAGATTTTCTTTCGTAAGGGCTTAGACAACAATCAGTACTTGTGTGCACAGATGCATGCATTGAAGGGTTTTGCCTTCTCTTACTCCTGAGAACATTGACAGCCGTGAGCGTGAAGCGCTTTCTGGATCTGTTCAAAACATTCCTTAATTGTAGAATTAATTAATATGATGATGATTGTTTGTATCAGTGTAAAATGACTCCGAAATTTTGTTTCGATAAGATGGTTTAGCAAGAGCTCCCCGCTTCGATGTGGTTCAGAAGTCCTTAAACTCTTGAAAATCCATGTACGGTACTGCACCATTTAGGCACCCTACCCCTTAAATCATCGTCCGACAGCCCCGTTCAAATTTGTTTACAGCATTCATAATTTAACTCGTAGGCAAATAATTTGATGCATGAAAGATGGATGTAATTGTTTGTCTGCATTGTTTTTGACGCCTATGATGGAAATGGGTCCCAATATGATGAAGTAGTGCTCCACTCTACTCTCGTAAACTATCGAATGCTGAAGTTCCTCAAACTGGAGAAGTATATCGTGGCTAAAATATAATACTTGGAAGTAGCTGTAAAAATCCGAAGATATGTTGGATGTCTAGAAGCTCCGAGAATTATCCATATAAATAAACACTGTTCCAAACATACCGAATCTTCTCTACAGGCAATCTTTATCGGAGTGTGGGCACTGATTGAGGAAAAAAATTAAAATAATGGCAGCTCGTGTTTTAAAAAGTAAATTTTGAAGCGTCCATTTATAGCACCGGTAAATCTTCTAACCGAAGTGTTTCGGTCAACCAAACCACCACTACCGATAGCTGTAGATCCAAGATGATTCAACACTTCGAGAAAATGCTAAGCATGCAAAGCATCATATCTTACTATCACCAGTGTTCGGTGAGTTCTCTATGTCCTTATAGATCCCACAATTTACCGATATTTCTTTTCTGGAGTACTGTAATTTTCACAAGATCCAGGGGCTGTCAAAGATCCATAAGTCCTTGTACTTTCTAAATAACACGAAGTATCGAGAGCTTTTGATGTTTTCTGGAGTTTTTAAACCATACACAGTACTGATATGATTTTCGACCAGTATTCTTCTTCTTCTTGGCATTTCAAGCATATTGCATATCGCATATTAGCTTATTGCCTGCTCTCAACTTAGTGTTCTAGATGCACTTCCACAGTTATTAATTGAGAGCTTTCGATGCCGGTACCATTTTTGCATTGATATGATTGTGTGGCAAGTCCAATCATACTTCTATGCCCAGGGAAGTCGAGAAATTTTCCAACCCGAAAATTTCCTAGACCGGACCGGGAATTGAACCCAGCCACCTCCAGCATGGTCTTGCTTTGTAGCTGCGCCTTTACCGACTGAGCTAAGGGGGGCCCTTTTCGACCAGTAGAGGTCTTAGAATTTGTAAAGTCCTTAGAGTTCTAGATGGCTCTGTAGCTCCCGGTACTCGCGATACTCCAGGGCATTCTTGGAACTCTGATTACTTCCGGAATATTCAAAATTTATGTTCTTTTAGAATTCCAAGAACATCAACAGCTTTAAACACTTTGAGCAGTATCGAAGCACAACTGCTTCTTGATAGCATTCTTTTAAACCATCTAGAACTTTCGGAACAGTCAGAAATTCCCTAAACATCCGCAGCTTTGAAAGCCATCTGGAACCTCAAGGAAATTTCAGTACTAAGGGACTATTAGCAGAAGTTTTGGTAGTGCGGGAACATCCGAAATAATTAGGGAGCCTCAACAAATTTCAACAGTGTAAACACTGCCCCAATTATTTTAACTTTTTAAATCCCGGGACATACATAATTTCAAGAATTATTAAAAAATTGTTGTGTGCTTTGCTTCTCAGTATATTCTAATTTTCCAAACTTATCTTTACTTGTAGGAACAAAATAAGAAATTTCGTATGTTTTAGATCTTCTGCAACCCTTAAAACTCTGCAATTCCATGAAGTTCCAGTTATTTCGAGACATAACGGAAGCTCTTGAGTAATTTATGTATAAAGAGCATCTCCAGACCAAAAATAAAAAATAAATAATTAAAGACTCGCCTACTCCGATTTGCATAAAACTTTTAATAATTGTTTTTTTATGAACAAACATTCAAATTTGAGCTCAAATCCGGCCATTGTGAATATGCAGAAATCTTCAAAATAACACATCTGATATTTGATAAACAAATCATAACTCGAAAACTTAATTTCCAATCGAAATGACGTCTGACTCAAAGTTGTAGAAAAAATAATTTCTTCTCAGGAAAAAATACACGGTTAAAATTTTCAAATAGAGCGGCGCCGGTGGTGTAGAGGTAAGCGTGATTACCTCTCACCCCAGCAGGCCTGGGTTCAACCCCAGTCGGCGCCACCGGGGTGTTCTGAGGCATAATATCTCTGAGCACGCCTTCCTTTGTTGTTTTTTTTTTTTTTTTTGTTGTTGTTGTTGTTGTTGTTGTTGTTGTTGTTGTTGTTGTTGTTGTTGTTGTTGTTGTTGTTGTTGTTGTTGTTGTTGTTGTTGTTGTTGTTGTTGTTGTTGTTGTTGTTGTTGTTGTTGTTGTTGTTGTTGTTGTTGTTGTTGTTGTTGTTGTTGTTGTTGTTGTTGTTGTTGTTGTTGTTGTTGTTGTTGTTGTTGTTGTTGTTGTTGTTGTTGTTGTTGTTGTTGTTGTTGTTGTTGTTGTTGTTGTTGTTGTTGTTGTTGTTGTTGTTGTTGTTGTTGTTGTTGTTGTTGTTGTTGTTGTTGTTGTTGTTGTTGTTGTTGTTGTTGCTGTTGTTGTTGTTGTTGTTGTTTTTACAGCGGATGCATTCGTGTCTGGGTGTGAGTGTTAGTGTTTATGATACAACTCAAATTTCACTTAGCTTTTTTCTCCTTTGCTCGTTTCCTCTACGTCTGGTTCTGGTTCATCATTTGCTTGATAATTGCATTTCAGGTATTATTTTGACGTCTTTTTCTCTATTTCACTTTTACTTCTTCTATCTTTTCATAATCTTCTTTTTTCATTGTCTTTATTTTTTCCATAGCCATGTTTTCGGTTTGTTCCAATTTCGGTACCGCTTCGCTTCATCTGCATCCTTATAATCGCCTTTTCGTCTTCTCTTGCTTGTTTTTCTTCTTTACACCCCCTTCGTAATTTTCTTGCTTCGCCTTGAATCCGTGCCTTCTCCGAACATTGTTCTGGTTAGCCTTCTTCATCCGCATCTTCGTCTTATTTAATTTATTTCGCTCAGTCACATTTCCATTTTTCTGTTTCTATCATCTTCTCAGTTCCTGTTTTTCCTTTAGATCTTCTTCCGTCTTCTACACCACGTTTCATCCGTTCCGTCTCCTTCTGTTTTCTCTTCATCAACTTCGCACTTGCTGTTTTTCCTTTAGATTCTTCGATACATATTGACTTCCTGCAGAAACTGCAGCGACTGCTTTTCCTAGGCTGGTTGATTCAATATCGTATTTCACTCTGGCTGTTTCAAACTTCCTGCAGTGTAAAATCATGTAGCGGACAACCACGGCAGTCCCACAGCCAGGCATGGAAAATCATTTATATTCATTTCATGCATTCATTTACATTCATTTGCCTCTAACTTTTTTCATCAACCACATTCCGCAAAATGATTTTTGCAACTTTTGTAGCATTCAAAGTGTTTTTTATGTTACTTCATACGCGAAGTTAACGATTTTCAGAGTTGGTTGGAAATGCTAACATGAAGCTTTAGTGTGATGATTTATTAGCTAGAGAATGATCTTTAGAAGAGGGTAGGTGGATAGTTCCGTTAGAGTACGGCAGTATGAAAATTGAATAGAAGTTGAAAATGAGCGAAGGGCCATTAAAGCGACAGTTTACAAGATAGACGCACATTTTTGCCTAGCCCGTACGATGTACGCGGGGACTTGAAGTATGTCTCCAAGCCTGTGGACTTGGAGACATACTTCAAGTCCCCGCGTACATCGTACGGGCTAGGCAAAAATGTGCGTCTATCTTGTAAACTGTCGCTTTAATGGCCCTTCGCTCATTTTCAACTTCTATTCAATTTTCATACTGCCGTACTCTAACGGAACTATCCACCTACCCTCTTCTAAAGATCATTCTCTAGCTAATAAATCATCACACTAAAGCTTCATGTTAGCATTTCCAACCAACTCTGAACTTTTGTAGGTTTTGTTATTAGCTACAAATTTTGTCCATAGCTCAAATCTGTATCTCTTATGCATCACGAACTACAAAAGTTCCAAAAATCATTTTGCGGAATGCGGTTGATGAAAAAAGTTAGAGGCAAATGAATGTAAATGAATGCATGAAATGAATGTAAATGATTTTCCATGCCTGCCCACAGCATTTGCACAGTAGTCGAGTGAGCACTCGCTGGTAGGTGGAACTTGTCTGGTCATTCAACTTTTTGGGTTCGCGTTTAACCTCCTTTAACTAGACTTCCGTTAATTGCACCCAGCGTTCTTCCCGTAGCAGACATATGGCATGGTTCATTGCCTTGATGGCATCCTTCCTCGGGATGTCGACGTTGAGTGGCGGACTGTTGCGTGCTTCGCCGGTGAGTCGATCTGCTTCTTCGTTGCCATGGATGCCGGCGCGGCCGGGAATCCAACAAAGTTGTATCGGGTGGTTTCTTAACAGCCCTTCGATTTCTTGAATCCAGGGATGTTGTAACTTGTCGCTTTCTATGGCCAAAAGGCTACTTTTCGAGTCAGACAGAATGACCAATTCGTTCGATATACCCGTGTTAAGAGCCGATTTAATTGCAAAGGCCTCCGCCGAAAAAACGCTACTCTGTGAGGGAAGGCCTATTTCTCTATGCAGACTGCCACAGAATACCCCTGCACCTACTGCGTTGTCGTACTTTGATCCGTCAGTGTGTAGCGTTAGCGTTGTTATGATATACTTCGTAGATTGGATACTAGCGACACTCACGTCTCTTCTGAAATTCTCAGTTAGACTACTTTCAGGAATAATGCTGGGGAGTAAACATTGGTTCCAATCTAAACAAGAGTAACAGAAGCATGAATGTCGTTATTCCCGGCCACGCCCATCTTTACCATAACTAGGGATAGGGAAGGAAATGTTGATGTAGTACTTACTTAACGAGAGGCCACCGACTTAGCAACACCCTCATAAGTGCTACGGAGTTGTAGGGTTGGGTATGGTATTCGGTTAGGATTCACCTCAAGTTGGCGATGCAACCAAAATAATGTATTGTTTATTTGTTGTTTATTTAATCTCTCGATAGCCGGCTATCGAAAGAACATATTAATTTTGTTTAGGGATCATGAATTTTAAGGGTCATGACGGAGAGCTTGGGATTAAATCCATGATTTTCTGCTCAGTAAGCCAAAACGATCCCTCCAGGGTCATCGAGCATCTCAGAACCATAACGCTGCGCGTCAATACAGGACTACGTTTTCGCTTGATATGCAAATAGTTTCCGACGTTAATGTTCAATGTCAAATATACAAATAATGGTGGCGATTTATTGTGCTGTGGAAGACCTTCGGGTTAAATCCATGATAGTCTGCTCACTAAGCAAAATCGATCCCTCGAGGGTCATCGAGCATCTTATAATCCAAAGCACTTTGAATAACTATTATTTACGATAATTACATGAAATAAATTAAATATAAACTACAAACAAAACGTGACTACTAAAATCTCAAAAAGATATTCTCACAAATATATTTCACGCCACCAGGAATCTCAAAACCATTAGACGGTATAATGATACTCTGCACATGTTAGACACAAGAAGAAGCCAAAAAGCAAGCGTCCGACACACAAAACCCGTCAAATCCACTTGCAGTCACAATCAACGATTCTACGAATCGTGAGCGCTCTCGAATTATAAAACCACTGACTGCAACACTCTGAATGCGAAATTGATAGGCTCTATGCATCAAACACCCGCCCTCCAATCTACTCTCGCATCCAACAACATAAATCTCCATTACAACATCTAACGAATTCAAAACTTCGAAAATCACACATATATAGCATGTGAGTGGAAGCAACCCTGCATGCAACCATTCTTCATGCTACACTTTTTCTGCCTTTCTTTCTATTAGGCCTGTGGACAACTTCTAACCAATCTGGGAAAATTTTCAGATCACAAAAAAAAATCTTCCAAAGGTAATTACAAGTAAAATAAATATTGATTAGTTTACGCAAAACGAGCAAGTAACATTTAATCTCTTGTATCGTATGCTAATGCTAATTGACTGTTACAAAAATAATATGCTTAAATAAAATAAAAAATAAAAAAAAATTATGCTAAATTTATCAGAAGATCAATACTTTATTGGTGAGAAGTTTCTAATAAGCCCTCCCAGTTCCTCTGTATACAGAACAAATTTGATACTATAATCAGAATTGCTCAGTCTGCATGATGTAGCCGATTTCATCAAGGAAGTTCTATTAACAACCATTAATTAATCGTTTGAGGCATACTGAAGCATTAAGAAGGTGATATGTGTCACTATAGAAAATCAACATCGTTGCAAATATAAAGAAATTAAACATAACCCTTTGCTTCAGTACCGTCAACCTCCATGTCCATGGAGAGGGTCACACTTTGATCCATCAGTGTATACAACTGAAGCACGATTGAACCGGTTTGAAAGTAATTCCTGCACAATGGGACGCACTGTATCCGGGGGATCTCCAGCTTTCACCTGCCGTCTCACGTCCCATATAATATGTGGCTTGGGTTCATGCCACCTTGGGTTGGTGAAACCGCGTCCGCTCAGCGTTGTTCGGGAGTCGTTGATCAAACATCATAAGACGGTCGGTTGCTCATTGTACAACTGGAAGGTCGACATTTCTGTGTTCCTTCTCCTTCGGCAACACGAGCTAAAACCTGAAAAACCAGGAGGTCAAATGGTAAGGTCCACGCTTCAGCCAGAATTGCTGGAATCGGGCTGGTGTCGTACGCTCCAGAGGCGAACCGGATCATCCGGTTTTAAACGTGTGCAAGATTTTGAATCATTGAGTCCTTCGCTCTGCTGACGAATACAATGCCGTAGAGAAGCCGCGAAGTGATGATTGCCGAACCGATACAAAAAAAAGAGTAACGTTACCCATGCGGAATCCTAGCCTCGATTATTTTGAGAATTCGAAAAAGCCTATAAGTCTTGCAATGTTGTTTGAAAGTCAGTGTCCGGTCGAAAGTAACACCGATGTTCTTCAGTCGCGTCGTCTTCGGTACAACGACCCGATCGATGCATATATCGTTGCTGGGCTCCCGGTGGGCGTTTGGACTGCAATATTTTGTCGACAGCTCTCACCGCATCTTGCAGATCACGATACCAAGGTTGCTCCTTATTCCTCCATACTACGAGCAAGATATCGTCTGCATACAGGAGTACGGTAACTATATGCGGCACCACTCTGAAGATCGGTTGCACTGCTACCAGGAACAGGGTTACCGAAAGTACTGACCCTTGAGGAACGCCATTCTCCAATGGCATTTCACGCGATGAATGTCTTCCACGATCACCCGGAATGATCTGTTGGTAAGGAAACTGTTCAGTACGTTGAACAAAACCCCCCTCCCCCCCTCCGCTCGATTTACCATTTTCGAAAAGTATGCAAAATGCCGAACTTCCATGTGGTGTCGTACGCCTTTGAGAGATCCAGCAATGTTCATCTCTATTTGGCAGAGACCTATCCAACTCCGGCAAGTAAGTATCGGTGCCCCGGCCAGCTCTGAAGGCGTATTGCTTTTTGTCGAGTCGTCCGTTCGACTCTAGCTCGGTTGTTAACCTTCGGTTCACCTTCGTTGGCTAGTGTGATCATCCATATTTTTTATTTAATATTTATATAAACCGATGACAAGCGTTAAACATTCCTTCACCTTCAAGTGTTGACGTGATTTATGAACAGCTCCTTGATGCAATTTCTAGTCTCTAGGGGAAACGATCATCCTGCCTAGCCTGGAAATACATTTCCCGTTTACAGCCCATAATTCTCTCAGGTCATAATTATTGAAACATTTTAATCAAACTCCCCATTGTGACCTCATTCAAAATTGCACACTATGTTTAAAGCAACACCCACAAAACTCACCATACCGTATGAGCCGAAGTTTTGTTTCGGAATTTTTCACCATAGGATTTCAATTTGACACCAAATTAATTATAAATCAACCAACTAGGACCACCGCGACGCTGAGTTCACAGCTGTAGCGCTTTGTTGTGGCTAATCGTTTTCCGATCAGCGCGTTGTGATTCTAGTTCATCAGCACTCGACCGAGATGAAAATTAGCAAATAAGGTCCACCTAGTTGCGGCGGGGAGTAGGATCAACAAAGAATCGCCAAACCGACCGAAATTTGTCAGTATCAGGCAAATGTCACAGTTCGAAAATAATTCTTCTGGTAGGTATTCGTGTGTGTGTGTGTGCGTATGTGCGACAACCGAGTACATTGCCGTTATTATCTGGTGTAATTGGGTTTTCCACTTGGGCTCACCAGGATCAAATTGAATTTTCACAATTTCCCCTGGCTGTATGGGAGGAAAATTGTTCGGGAAATAGAAGGAAATTCTAGGGTACATTTACTGTGTCACACCGCCCACCGTACTCTGGGGGAGTAAGAGTGCACGTAAGTGTACCATGCTAACCAACCTCATCGATGGTAAGCCAATGCATTGACTGCAAGTAATAAATGTTGTTTCGAGTGTCATCCAACCATTAAGGTAATTAGTGGGAAAGTTTGTACAACCGGGTTGGTTATTTTGTTATCAGCCAGGGGGGTGAAGAAGGAGCCACCATAGAGAGAGCATTGTTGCGAATAAATTGCCTGTTGTTGACGGGAGCTTAATTGAGACCGTAGGGATTTTCCACTGGATGCTGTTATAATGATGAAGGTTGTTGCTGCGCGTAGCGTTTCAGTATTATGTAATAGAGCGGATATTTCCTATGGCTTGCATACTAGGAAGGTGATATGGAAAGGGAAGGAGGGAAGCCATTTTGAGTGTTATCTGATTCATTAGTTTGAACATTTTGGAGTAGAAATTCAAAGATGCATTGTGTCAGGGAATCATGATTGCTTTGAACTCCATTCGCCACCGCACGCAGTTCACTATCCACAAAACGCTGATTAGACCGACAATTTTCTACGGTCACGAGGCATGAACTATGCTCTTGGAGGATCAACGTGCCCATAATGTTTTTGAACGAAAGGTGTATGAATGATGAAACCAGGAGAAGGCGAATGAACCGCGAATTGCATCAGCTGCTGGGAGAACCACTTCCATCGTACCTTATCTTACCATACAGGCTAAGTGTCCTTTGCTGTACATACCTTCAATGAGAATTACTCAGCAACAGAGAAAGTTTACTTCTAATCAGTTGTACGACTTCTTCTTCTTGTTCGCATTTCAAGCTTATTACTTAGCGCATATTAGCTTATTGCGTGCTCTCAACTTAGTGTTCTAAATGCACTTCCATAGTTATTAATTGAGAGCTTTCGATGCCAATACCAATGCATGAATTTGTATATTGTGTGGCAAGCACAATGATATACTCTATGCCCAGGGATTCCCTC